CGAAACTTTTTGAGCAAATATCTTCTCTTATATTTATGCTACAGTCACTACACTACAAAAAGGTACTAACAAGCGATCATTTTTTAAATGGCATTTTGTGTGATTCGTTTTGTTGCTGAAAGAAAAGGCCAAAGTTGTTGTGAATTGACTGACTAGTCAATGCAAGTTTGTAGACTGATGTTTCTATCCAAGCAAATACTTAAAGATATAGTAATTAGCATGTTATTAGAATCATTGAGGTTACCTTTTTATAATTTGCATGATTTAAAATAAATAAATAGATAAAAACAACGTGACATATCTTTGATGGCTGTGACTGTGAAGCAACTTCTATCATATATTGCTTACTATTGTTATCTTTCATGCATTGTACGCAACTTTTAACTCATATAAAAATGCTCTTTAGACATTTGCATGTTACTTATTTCGTTAAAAATTGTTTTGTGATTTGACGTAGATAAAAAATTATAGTTTAATGTATAAAATTACATAGGAAATTAGTACATATCAGTGATATAACTTTCATAAATATTTGTTCACAACTGATAACATTTGTCAACTAATATTTGTTGTTGAAAATATTTGAAAGTAATAAAAACGATATTGAAAAATGGTGAAGATGAAGTTATTTACTTTTAAAAAACAACCCTTTTCATTTATTTGGATCAGCTAAGCGGATTTATTTTTGAAATTTTGGGAAAAAAGATTTGACAAATAAATGCTTGCTTTGTAGCACCATAAATTTTACAGTACTGAATAAACACTTGTTTATTATTTGTATTTCTTTTATACTTATTCTGATTGATTTGATTTTCTTAAAATTTTTTTAAATGGTCATTAATTTTTGGTCTCGTTAATTTTTGATTATTTTGAAAAATAAATAAAATCCTATTTACACGTTTTTTCGTTGTCTTTAAGTCATAAATTTTTTTCCGCTATATATGACTTGCAGTCATTTTCAGATTTTTGAAGTGGTAATTTAATCTCAATTATCGCTTAAATTTCATTCTTACGCATGTGAACAAATGAATCGGACGTGCAGCATACAGGAAGGAAGTTCTTCATCAATACCACATCTTTCTATTATTTTAACTGTTCGTTTACTTATGCAAGGAAAAGTAAGTTTGTCTTCAGAGTATTGAAGCTTTTCCTTAGAATTTACTTAAATGAACACAAAGTTTGTGGTGAATTATACAATAAAATCACAAATATACCTACTTTTTGTTAGTATCATATTTGCTTTTATGTTTTCATATCGCTGACGAGAATGTTGTAGCAAGCCAAAATCAAAAGTAATCACTGTTAGCGATATTACAATTACCTCAAATGACAAATTTAATTGCGATCTTTGCGATATTTTCTTCGAACTTATTTATCATCCATATGTCCCTATTTATTTCACTAGTTTGTTCAGTTGTAATCTCGCCACGACAATGCTAGAAAATCTCCACTAATAATAGTACTAATAGAATTCTGATTACATTAAAAGGAACTTCCAACAGATATAATACCTTCAAAAATTTAAACCTTTTACTAGCCTGTAGTAAAAAATTTGATACTACCGCGTTGTGTTCATGCTTTAATAATATGCTATTTAAGTAGCGTAAAATGACTTCACTGAATTTAGTTTCTAAAAACTGTTTAATATTTAGAAAAGTTTATTTATGTATGCAAATTCTGAATTTGAGTTTTTCAGGAAGTTGGCAGCATTATTGGTAAACGAGGCGATCATATAAAACTTATTCGTGATCAATCTGGAGCCAAAATTAATATTTCGGATGGTTCATGTCCCGAACGTATTGTTACAATTACGGGGAACACTGAAACTATCAACAGAGCATTTGTCATGATTTGTGCAAAGTTGCAGCAGGTTTCGTCCTCTCTGAATATTTACACTAAGCAAAAATGAGCCAAAAGTTTTACAAATGCTAAGCTGGTTAAAATTATCTTTCGTTCTGAATCATATATGTTTTATCAGAGATAGCAGATGATTACATTCAGTTACCAGAAAAAGCGAAAAAGTACAGAACAAGAAGTGATTGAGTGTCATGAAAGCATGCTCTTGCAAAGTCCCTTTAGCCGTTATCGTTTTCAAAATTCTAAAAAAATTACTGTTTGGTGTTAATTTCATTCTCAATAATTTTAAGGATTTACAAGCTCTTTCGAATACCATTCCAAAGCCTCCCATAACGATGCGGTTGATTGTGCCTGCAACACAATGTGGATGCATTATTGGAAAGGGTGGCTCAAAAATTAAAGAAATCCGTGAGGTGCTCATTTTCAACAAATTAATTTTTTTAAAATTAAGAAGGTCAACCTAAAGTTCATGATCACAACTTGTGAATGAATGATCAGTAATGTTGCATTTGGATAGAAGTGACAAAAATTGCGCTTTATTCATTTTTTTTTACTTGAAGTCAAGCATTATTTGGTTATTGTTTCTAGGAACTAAATTCAAGTATGCAGAATTTTGTATTCTGAAAATGAAAAAAAATAATAACTCAATAAGTTTGAATTTATAGAGCAAATAAATTAGAATATGTCAGGCTAAAGATTCAACTCTAAATTGAAATTAAAAAAAAAATTGTTATCATTACTGCGACAAATGCAGCATGAAAATTGAGCAAATAACTGCAAAATTATTTTTTACTGATATGAGTATTGATCGACTGATCACTTCTCGAAATTACATGGGAGGAAACTTTTAGGCGACTGGTGCATCTGTCCAAGTAGCGAGTGAAATGCTTCCGAGCTCTACGGAACGAGCTGTCACCATTTCGGGAAGTTCTCAGTCAATTGTATTATGCATGCAAAATATCTGCCAAATTCTACTAGAAGTTTGTAATTTGAAATTACAAAAATGCATAAGCAGGAGAAAAATTTTATAATAAGTTACAGAAATGAGAAAAAAATTAGCATGATTTCATGAGTGATGTGAGTACAATTTGCTATACCACGCGTTATATCCGAAAGATATGGTATTGCAGATTATAGTCACATTGGTTTAAATTAATTTAAACTGCAATATATATGATATTCGTGTTTTATGAACGCAAAATAATTACCCAAGTATCTGCATTAAAAAATTCGTTCCGTCAAAAAAAAGCTAATTAAAAAAATAAAGTATAAAAGTAGTAATGTAACAATGTTTTCCATAATGCGTTACTTCATTTCAAAACTTTACCGAAAATATTAAATTATATTTAATAAGGTTTTATTCTAAAAAATATTGCATACCACTAAAATTATATCGATATCTGAAACTTTGAAATTTGGTTGCGTGGAATTGCAATTTTGTGTAAGAATAACTTACAAATTTACTTATTATAAATTATTGGCTACAGGCACCTGCAAAAGGCAATACATTACCATATCGCCCCAAACCTACCTTCAATCCAGCTTTATTAGCAAGTTCTGCAGCTGCAGCCGCATCATTACTGCAGCAGCAGCACCATCAACCACAGCAACACTATCATCCTACGTTAATTAACCCTTTGGACGTGAGTCAAGTCTGACTTTGATACTTTTTATCTTTATTTAATCTGATTAAGTAGCGCAAAACTTTCCTTCAACACAAATATTTCATTAATAATGCACTCCATGTATTCAAATAAGCAGTTCTTATATTTTGCAGTCAGTGCAACTTTTAATGTGCTCACTCACTCCAATTTTTGTGATTTAAATTGACAAATATTTTGGTGTGATTGGTCGTTTCATAAATTTGGCTTGTCTTTTTCCAATTTTTTTGAATGGTTAGCATAATAAATTTATGGATTTGTTTGTGTGCTAAATATTTGCTACCAAATTTTCTACCAATTTAACTATATATTCCGAAAAAATTTTTCAGAAGCCAGCAGAACTATTCTTTCAAGTACGTGATTCTTCATTACTTCTCTCTTGCAAATAGTTTTTGTTAGTTATCGAAGGAGTGAGAAAATCTGATTTCAAACTATTTATTCCCTTTTTGTTTGATTGCATGCTGCTTTAAAACTTGATCCCACCTCAGTCTACTTTTTTTTTGAAGTAATTTTTGCATATCTGTAATTTTTGTGATTGTAATATTGCAACTTTGGAAGAATATTACAGCATCCTTTCGAGTAGTATATGTCAGCAATGTTAATAAAAAACATTGAAAATCAAATATAAGCATTCGTTTCTAAAATTCAATCCCTTACTTGACTTTTGACCTTTTGATATTACGGCAACTGCAAATGAATTGTAGATGCGAATGCAACCGCTAGTGTAGTACAGAAGGACCGAAATTTTTCAGACTTTAAACTTCCCCATCCTTCATTCATTATCTATCTAAAAGTTGTCACCAGAAATCTTGTACTCAGTTTGTATATGTCATTGAAGTCAATCGTATTTAAGGCAATCAAATTGGATTTTTGAATTTTAGCTGAAAAGTTGTGGCTTGAAATTAGATTTTTTGTTTGTGACGACCGAAAATTGTTGTACAAGACAGTAACATACTGCTATACAAGCATAAATCTAGTTCCCTATTTTTAAGTTCAAGACAAAAAGAAAAACTGACAAATTCAACTATATACGAAAAATAATTCCGAAAAAAGTGCAAATCATTAGAGTAGTTAAAAAGTAAGTAATAAATTGTTATGCAGGCATGAATCTTGAAAAGTGATTTGTATAGGTGCATAGAAATGAACAAAAAGCTAATAGAAAAATTTGCATCAGTTTGTTAGCTAAACTTTCAGAAATCAATTCGTCTTGCACAATATGTCATATTGCGTTTTGCACTGAAAGTGAGGAACTGATTAACAAGTCTGTAAAATAATGAAAATGTAAGCATTACTGCTAGAATGAGTAGTTTGCTAGTGCGCAAATTGGAAATTAAAGATTTCAAATCTGAAAAAGTAAATGTTTTTGGTGCAGTGATATCAATTTCATTTTAACACTTACTTTGCTGCTACAAATTTCGAACTTTGTTAATTTTATTAGGTTCGCAATCTCATAAAGCCCATAGGAACCAAAAATTTTTTCTTATTTTTTTGCAAAAAGTGCTATTTAGGTCTTTGTTATTTTTAGCGCTAGGTTGAAGCACATTTCAGCTGAAAAATTACTGTGATTTAATTTTTTTGGAAGATTAAATATGTTAGAGAAATCAGCGACAATCTTACCCTAATATAATTTCACGCTCTGAATTGACTACGCTTTTAAGGCATATCTTCATATCCAGTTTATCATTCACTTTTACTTTCATTGTCTTACTTTTACATTCCAGAATAGAATGAGTAGTATATTTTATTGGTAAGCTTAATATGTATAATTCTTCGTATTATTTGTTGTAAATCCTAGATGGAAAATTTAATTCAGACCAGAATAGAACAAAAGTAATTTGTAACAGAACCATTAGCACACAAAAACAAACTTGTAACTGTATTTCGGCAATGCAAAAAACACTCCAAAGACATAATGAGATATAGAAGTGAATTTTTTAACTACCTCACAGGTCATTGGTGTTTGTCCTTGCTATAGTTCTGTTTTTGCAAAACTTTGCAAAATAATATGAATATTTTTTATTTTCCTGAAATAAAATTTGAGCTATGTGTTCTATATTTTCAGCTGGTTAGAGTACATTCCCCTTATATCGCAACTTCCCAATTACTACCAACTGTGCCTGCACTGAACCCTTATGCAACAGGTATGAACATCGCCAACAATCTCTACTATTACTACTAACAATTACTATATTGCTACTAATATTGATACTTATCATGACAATATCAATAACAATGATAATAAGTGTTATTTTTGTTATTAATCATCATTAACCATCCTTGATTGTGAAAACAGTTACTACTGTTGTCATTGTATCCACTGTTATTGCTGTAACTGTAATTCCAGATGATCCGTTTAAGCTAAAACTAATGTACGTTTGCTTCTGCTGACAAATGCATGCTAAAAACTCTTCAGTCAAATAAAAACAACCTGTTGTCATTCTCTTTATCTTTAATTTTTAATCGAATTCCGAAACTCTTTTGTTTAGTAAGCAACTAGTTCTAAAAATAATACTTCCTCCTATATCGCCATGCATTCTGCAATACATTTTCAGTCCTAGTTTTTTATCTAAGTTGACTATTGACCACACAAACCAATCCTCATTAAATTTATTAATATTTCAAATCTACAGTTAAGCTAAATCCTCCTAGCAAATAATAATCCATGCAACAGTGATGATTATTCTACTTATAATAATTGTCTTTGAAAATAGCAGCGGGAAATATGCCTAACAAAATTGCGACTTTCCAGTCATACCCGGAGCTTAGTACTTAGTATTGGTAACTATGAGCTCGTCCCATCCCAACCTTCATCTATTCTGTGCTTTCACAGATTCGATATAAATTGACATGCTTAACTCCTTCCGAATCTTAATCTTTTCTTATTAATTCATTCACGAATTACCAATTGAAGATCTTGAAATTTAACAGAGGAAGTTCTGGATAGTAATATGTATAACTAGTTAAAACAACCTTCTTCATTACTTTAAATCAGTTTTATTCTACAACCCCTGCACAATTTACAGTTTTCGGTAACGGATCCATGACACCTTTGCCGATAAAAGCTGCGGATGTAGTGATAGCCGAGGAGCAACATCAAGCAGTCGTTGCTGCCGCTGCAACTGCAGCTGCACAATGGGCAACTGCAGTAACAAGTTTTGACGAGAAACAGGCTGATCTCGCTCAAAGTCTTGTGAATTTACAATATGCCGCAGCTACAGGCTCAGGAGGAAAGTAAGTTTTGCAGATCTTGATGAAAGAAGCACTATTCAGCAATTTTATGCAGTTACTGACAAATCTGTAAATTCCAAACATGAGTACAAAAGATTAGAAACACTAAAACTCCTCCTCGATAATACAAATCTCATACCTTAATTTCAGGAATTTTTTAGCTGGCAGAATAAGGTATTCTGCTAGCTAACCTTCGAGCAAATAAACTCTACATCTCCCTTATATTGTTTTCAGCATGTTTCTCAGCAATCCAGCAGCATTAGCTAAGATAACCAAACATGACAACATCGTCAGTTCGACACGGATTTCACCTGTTTTACTAAAACAAAATGCTCGGCGGTTTACGCCATACTGAACTGAGCGATTGTATAGTCATTTTTTCCTCGAAAATAATATTACAGCTGATTCAAAATTCAGCGAAATCTTATGCCACAATTAGAGCTGAATGAGCAAATATCAAATATATTTTCCTCAACTTCAACTTCCCGTTGATCAAACAACTGTTCCCTTTACATTTAAAATCATTACTGTATTCCGAAACAGTATGTTGATTATATTCATGAAAGCAATCTTAAGATAAAACCAACAGAAATGGTGACTCAAACATTTATGCAAGGCAGATCGTTTACAAACTGAATGTGAAAAAAGGTTACATGTTATTGCTGACAAGTTTCTGACACTTTCATTGCTATAATAATGACTATTTGTATCGCACAAAACATAATAAAAGTAATATTTGTAATTTTAGTTTCCACAAATAAAATATTAAGCATCTAACTTGTCACAATAGCACCAAAAGAAGCCGTGGCAACTGCCACATATTCCATTATCTATTTTTAATTTTGACAATGTTTGCTACAGAAAAATGTAGCCGATAATAGTATCTGCTTTGGTTGAGCAGTTTACCACCAAACCAACGCTTTGTTTTAGTACTAAACTGCTCAACTTAAATTCCATTAAAATCACGAAATCACAAGTTCATGTGTTTTGAATGAAATAATCCCTCCATAATTTCTGTTTTGTGTTTTTTAACAATATTCTGCAGAGCATTCATATTCCATGGGAAACACATCAGCAACATATTAAGATTATTTTTTAATGTTTTTAAATCCACGAAGCACATTCAATGCGCACTCCGTAAGAAAAATCAACTTTTAAGCAACTAAACCAAATAGGAAAGAGACTAATTTTGCTCGGCAAATATTGTTTTTCAAAACATTTAATTGGCTTGAAATATTGTAGCCAAAACTTTTTTTTATGAAAATTCAAAATTATTTCAATAAAAAAAATCAAGATGAAATTTGATTTCTGCATTAAAAAATGCCAAAAAAATTAAAAAAATGAAAAAAGCAAAAGCACTTTATGGAAACTCAAAGTTATGAAATTAAAAAAATCTTTTTACATAATTACCTTATTACTATAAGTACGACAATCAACTTTACCGTCATCGATTGTGACTCCATATGCTTGCAACCATTCATGTAATCTCGATTCTTCCATACCTAATTTAGATGCCAACATTGTAGCGCTTACTGTCGGGCGAAATCTGCAAACTTGATAATGACTGGGATATAATTGACGCAAACTAAAGTAATAGATTAAACTTACGATTTCAAACAAGCATTTAAAGCAGCTTTGCGTTCCCGTTCTAAAAACAAATCCATTACATATGATGCCATTCGCGGAGCCACTTGATATAATCGGAAAAGCTTAACGTAATTTCCTAGAGCCCAAGCTTCACGAGTTCTCAGTGAAAATGCAAGACATGGATCCCTTCGAGCTTCTTCATCTAGTTCACTGAGCAAAGTAGTTTGATCTGCAACCAAATTACTAAATAAAATTAAGTAATAAGCATTAAATGAACACCGCAACACTTACTGAAATATCTGGGAATAGATCACTAATTCAATTAAAATAAAACCATTGCACATTACGTTTTGCAGAAATGCAAAACATACCAATAGTATTTGTAACAGATATATAATAAAGTAATCGATAAGAAGTAAATTCGAGACGGTTTGGAGAGTCCGGTATTTCCTTGTATAATAATTTTAACTGGCTTTGACACTGATTAAATTCTTCACGATCGCCTTGCTCTAACGCGATTCGTGCATTAGTCTCATAAACCTTTACTGTGAAATCAGTTCTTACACACTGAATCTGAAGTTTTATATGAAAAATAGTACTTGCGATTTGCTAAATTTTTGCATTGATTTTTCGAAAAAATTTACTATTAACAGAGTTTATCATCCATTCTCGATCGAAAAATCTCTGCAGTTTGCACTAAAACACGTTGAAATAGAATTTACCATCAAATCTTGACGAATGCTCCTGAGTTGGTCATTTGCATAAGTATAATCATGATTGACTGTATATTTTTCTTGTACTAATTTTAATGCTTTTTCCAGTACTTTCAAAGGCCTTACAGTGCAAGGATCTGGAGCCTAGAAGTTCGATAGTAAATTATTAGTCGCTAACAATACACGAAAAATAAATGTTTGTATTTAACATATAGCTAATGCAACATTTACAATATTACGAGTAAAAATGAATAATTAAAGAAAAAAGAAAATGAAACCGAAGTAAGGCGGAAGTACGATTTTTCGACTTCCATGCATGTTCCAACAACATTTTCACTGGTCCCCTGCTCACCTTCTCGATCAATGAAATAGTCAAGACGGTACCGCAACTCTGCAAATTTCGAACGTCGCGTTTCATCATCTTTAGCGAACCGCCGAGCACGTTCCTCACGCTGCGCATTGCTTCGTTCATCCGCAACCCAACGTCCGAATTTCTCGCTATTCTTCTTCTGTCTCTTTTTCTTTCTCTGCGCAGCGTTTTGTTTGAGCTGAGGTTATTGAGTTAAAAAAATAAAACTTATCTTAAAAGCCTTTTCTAGTGTAGTTTTTGGACGCTCTCTGATTACTTTCAGACAGATAAAAATATACTATAATGATGGAATCATAATTTATCCTATACTCAGAATATGAAAAATTTTATAATTTAGACAGAATTTGTTTTACCTCTATAGCTGCTAAAATTGTTTTTCCTTTTCATTTCGGAGCCCTACATAATTTCCTTCGAACAATTTTATGAAATCCAAAAAAAGCATAATAAAGTAAATTTTTTTTAATGAAAAAAAGGTCACCATAAAAAGCACTAAAAATTGGAGAAAAAACTATCGAATAATAACCTTCGGTTGCTCTTCGACCGAATTATCATCTGAAAGAAGACGTATACGTGGACTAAACGGCAATCTTTTTTTGGAATGATCACGGAACTGTGGCGATCGTGAACTTTTTTGATGGTTTATTCCATGCTTTGATTTTTTAGACGATCTTTGTTCTATTTCTAAGGAAGTATTCACCCCTTTTTTCAGCTGACTAGCCGGTGTCCAACCAATTTTCACTTCAAAATTCAATTCAGAAGGTAACGGTTCCTACAAAATGCAGAATAGTCAATTAGAACATATAACACAATACAAACTGAAAAAATGACTTAAAGGTTTACGTCGATGTTCAAGCTAGAAAATTTAATTATGAATACTTGATTTAATGAAACAAGAAATACTATATATTTTGAAATGACGCTAGACAAAAACTTACGCTCAATACCATTCATTTTCGGAGAAAATATGATATGAAATGTTAAAAAAAACTAACATGATCCCAGTCTACCGTTTTGTAAGCACCAGATATCAACAGAGGATTCAATTTCTGCTTAAAATATTCTTCCAATTTATCTCGGTCTTCCTTTTTTTCTACTGCCATATATGAGCGTTCTACATACCTTCTGAAAATACAAAGATTGAATATTTTAATTACATCAAAACTCTGAATAATATGAAAGTACTGTTTACATGAAATGTTCTCATTTCTCATGAAAATATATTTGCTGACCTCAAACCTCGTACTCTAAAAAGTTTATCAATTATAAACAGTTAAAACACATAATTTTAATTTGTACCATATACATAAACAAGCAAGGTGACGAAAACTTACTTAACAGGATCTGGAATAGTAGGTGATTCCACTGAAGATGACGTAGTATCTAAACGAAAAACGGGTGCAGTACTAAGTTCTTTGGGACGATTAATTGAAAAACGTACAGGATGCTGTGTAGTACTGTTAATTTGTCCATACTCTCTTCGTACCCCTAAAGGTACTTCTGGTGCACGTGGTACACTGACGTTAAAACGAAATTTTTGCTGTACACAAGGAAAGTGACTTGAGGAACTCCATGGATCCATAAAATTTGGACAATAAGCAGCATTTGTCAACAATCCATGATTTCTTGATGGTGCGAAACCATACTGCACTCCGACGTAAGTAGAGCCATCTTGCGGTAATCTGCATGACTGATTAGGTGGTGGTGGTGGTGGCGGTGGTGGTGGTGGTAGTGATGATGATGACGATGGAGGAGGTGGAGGAGGTTGTAGACGAGGAGCGAATACAGGCAGTCCAAAATTTAATTGCTCCATCCACGGATAATAACTCAATATTGGATTTGGAATATTAGCTTGAGCACAAGAATGATACGATGTCATAGATGAGATATTGGAAGTCGAAGTGGCTGAAACGTTAACCTTTTTCAAGGCTTCCTGAGCTTTCTCCCAAGCTGTTGTTCGATCATCCCTTGGTGTTACTATGTCTCCGCCCGTATTCTGAGATGGCATTGGTATTCTTGATATGCACCCATCTTTTGGTTCCAGTAACCAAGCATAACTGGAATAAATCACTTATTTATTTTTAGTTGAACTGATTATTTAATGTCAAAGTGTTCACTGATACTGTAATACAGTACAGTACAAATTGGTATTCAATAATTTTTGATAGAAACGGTTGATTTGAACGAAATGTTTTTCAAAATTTCAGTAAAATGATTTCATGCAAAATTAGTGACCAGGTGATAAATGTTTTAACTTATCAACAATCTCAAAAATATATTTATGTATTTCTACTGATATATATTTAATTAAAGACAATCTCACTACGATATGATATAATGAAGTAAAAACATCTACAACATCTTATCGTTATTGTAGATATTCTATTTCCAATAAAAGTATTTTCTAATTTTCTCATCATATGATCACTGCAACACAAAAACTGCAGAACAGAACAGTAGTAAACGAAGAGTTGTTTACCTTTTAGAGGAAGCATTGTCTGAAGACGTAGATTCTGAAGAGAATGACTTCATCAAAACTCAGGAATATTATCAGCGAGTAACTTATTAGTCAAAATACCAACTGAAAACTTCCCTTTCCTAATTAAACCTAACCCTGCCAAAACAATACGTTTCCTACCTTCTCAACGAAGCTATTATCCCATCAATGTGACTCTTATGTGCATTAATTTAACACCGATAACGAAACAGAATTGAACGGGCCGCACTTTTGCTTTGCGTTGGTCTATCTTTTGTTTTGTATTTAGTTTTCATTTGTGTCTCGCTTTCTCCTCACTCACATTTAATTTATGAAAGACCAGATTTGAAAAGTAAGAAATAGATTTCTTATGCAGTTGAGGAGAGAATAATATTTGGCATTAGTATACTGTTGGACAGAAGGTTACTAAAATAGATCGATGTGTCGTAAATACGTACTGATATCTGTCTTTATTCGTCTTCCATTTTCGCAACTATGACCTTATCTATCATTTTTTCTTGATCTTTGTTAATAATCAGCTTTCTAGACATATAACATGCCATATGCCAATCAACCACATGTTGTGATTACGGCCTTAAATGACGAGATCGTAAGATTCGTGCTAGAAGACACTGATTTAAGCGTTGCTAATTCGTTAAGACGAATTTTTATGGCAGAAGTGCCGACTATGGGTATTATTTCGAGCTCATATTTATGCTTTTATGAAGCGTGTTGCCAGAAGTACTCAAATTGTTTGCATTTATCAGAATTTATCTTTTGACGAAAGTAAGAGAATTATTAAGCCAAACGTTTATAGCGGTTGGTCATTTATACAAATTGACTTAGTGCAGTTAGATAAAAAGACGCTATTTCTTCGGAGGACTGATTCTAATGAACTTAGTTATAATAATCAGCTGGATAAAAATATGATATATTAGCTTTTTTCATTAAAAAATAAATTACTCTCTGGTCTCTCATATATGCAGATCATTTCCAGCAATCGATTGGGTGCAAATTGAATCGAATACCAGTGTTTTGCATGATGAATTCATTGCACATCGTCTTGGTTTAATACCTTTGACATCAGATTCAATAGTAGATCAAATGCAGTATTCACGGGTTTGTATATATATTTCTACAAATTCACATACCATTTTTTATTTGAAAGCCTGAATGTTTATTAGTCACTGTTAATCATAATATTTCCGTAATTTAGCCATTGTTAATTTATAGAAAGATCTCTCTAGTAAGCTTCATCACTGTTCAATGTATTTTGTTTTCAGGACTGTCAATGTACTGAATTTTGTCAATTTTGTGCAGTGGAGTTACGGCTTCGGGTCCGTTGTGATGATGAAGGAATTCGAGCAGTAACAACTGCAGACCTTGAAACTAGCAATCCAGATGTAGCTCCAGCATGTGGTGTACACGTACGAAATCGAAATGTTGACGAAAGTGCTAGTGATGACATTCTCATCGTTAAACTGAGAAAAGGTCAAGACGTTGATATGAAATGTATTGCGAAAAAGGTATCTTGTCTCTTTTTTTCTTTATTTTTTGAAATTGTGTCGAGTTTTCATTTTCAAATCGTACTTAAAACATATTTTTTTATTATTGTCACTTATGTGTTTTTGTTCATTTCTCTGCTTCAGTAACTGCGTTTTAAATGTTCAAAGTATATCGTTTAACGCATTTATAATATTTTAATACAATATGTACTCTACAATCATATTAAAATGTTTTTATTGATACTATTAAAGGATAATCACTTAGCACTGAAGTAACTCTGTATCTTTGAAGGGATTTGGTAAAGAGCATGCAAAATGGAATCCAACGTGTTGTGTAGCGTTTGAATACGATCCAGACAATGCTCTTAGGCACACAGTCTTAGCAAAACCAGAAGAATGGCCAAAAAGTGAATATTCTCAATTAGAGGATGATGAATATGAAGCACCTTTTGATCCTATGGCTAAGCCTAATAAATTTTGGTTTACAGTTGAGTCAACTGGAGCTTTGAAGGTATGATGCACGGTTCTTTTTTTTGAATATAGTGAAGAAACATTATTATATTGTAGCGGATGTAAATGTTTCCATGGCTGACACAGTTATTTAAAAATAACAAGAGCAATAATCGTGCCACAAGCAGCGGTTCTGTTATTAATGGAAATAATTAAGTTGAAAGAGCTTTTAAATTTCAATGGCATATCTGTTTTGAAAAAAGGATATAGTCATAAACATTATGATAATAATTTATAAGCTAAATATGTCTTTTAGGCGGAAAACATAATTCTTAGTGGGATATCTGTTTTAAAAAAAAAATTGGCGGACTTGCAAAATCAACTGCAGAGGGAGTTGCTGCAGCAAGGACATGTTTATCATTAATCTGAAGCATACATCTCGTATGTTCTAAACTTGTTTTCGACAAGAATTTCTGCGGCGCTTGCAGTTACTTCCGAAGTTATTTGCGTACCAAGTATTATTCAAGTATAAAGTACATCAAATATGATTCGTGTGAAATAATTAATTAGGTGGAAGAGCAGCATTCGATACTGATATAGCAATATAAACCTACTTCGTCGAGCATTATTTTAAAGTTGCATTACTGATGTGAAAATATGAATCCTTTCATTATGCTTGATCCTGTTTCGATGAACATGCCCTTTGGAATGTATAGTGATTTAATTGTATGTATTTCATTTGTAAAAAAATATTGTGTTATTAAATATTACCAACATGAATTCGTTAATGTAAAGTGCGATAAATTTAAGCAAAACTATGAGAGAAGATGAAAAGCAAGAAAGAAATATATTGTAAAACAAATATCAAAAATGTTGGAAAAACGGAAATCAAAAATTCACTCAGCTCCAGTTATTTGATGTTTCAGTTGTTTTGTATCGTTAATTTTTATCCAGTCGAATATATAAGGATGACTCAATATGTCACTTTTTAATTTTTTGTTGTTGTCCGTGCGCCACAGACTTTCTGATTCTATAAGTACCTTGGTCCACTTCATTATATTAGTGATGCAGAATTTATCAATTAGATATTGAAATTGATTGGAAAGAAATGACTAAACGGTTTTATGTAAAAATAATCCATTCAAAGATGGAGACAAAGTGTGGTGCATATTACTGAATAATTATGGAAGTATATGAAATAGGAGTCAGGGAAGTAGGAACCATTTGTGATGATATATCGATACTTTTTTCCTTGTCTTAATGACAGTTCGAGTGTCAAGCTCGTGATATTTATTTTAAGCTGTTGGTATTTTTGCCTTTGACAAGTGCATTCCCAGATTTGTCAAAGTGAGCACTATCATTTCTCACGGCTTTGTGATTTTGGAGCGCATTTTGATTTTGAATAGACTTGCGAAAATAAGTTTCAACTTTCATTACCAGGTAGTAGTATGAGCGGCTTTTTGGCAATATAAAAAATTGGACCGTAATGATACAGTATTATAGTTGCTGCAGTATTCTGAAGATTTCTTTTTAATCCATCCTCTCTTAAATTCACTTTATGGGTAGTTATCTGATTTTTGCAAAGTAAAAAGATTTTTTATCAAGTTTACGTTACATTAGGAAAAGTGAACTGATGGGTATGTTCTTATGGCGTTCACTCATTGTATCAGTCTTAGTCTTAGCATATCGAAGGCCTTTCATTTTATAGCCATAAAATTATCATTCATGCAATATTATATGAAAAAAAATGCATTAGTTCTTTGAAGTGATAGTAAGTCTGGTGGGGATACGACATCCAGATTTTAGTCCCAGTTATTGTAGATTGACTCGATCTGGTACTTTAGAATACATTATAGCAACAATTTTTATTTAGTGTGATAAGGGTGTTGTTCTAATAAGACAATTTTTTATTCTTGAACATTATCAAATATACAAAGGAAGCCTTTAACAAACTTTAGTTGAAGGCTAGGATACTGAATTACACTTGCCAGTCAAAGTCACGATGACTAAATCGTGGAGCCAACAAAAGCAGTGTCAAAGTAGCAGCACCAGTCAAAAAGAATATGCAGCAAAAAAAGAAGCGATCGAAAACTCCCGAAATGTAATTCCATTCTTCGATTAGCACTTCTTGTTCATTGTCTTTTTCTATTCGTTTCATCTGAAGATTGAATCATTTCAAATATTTTCGAGTAGTTTATGGTTAGTCATCTCCAATTTTTTGACGCATAACGATTTCAAGAAGTTGAAAATCTTACAAGAATTCTGCTTATAATGTCTTTTGTATCATCAATACTTTCAACAGGCTTCCGACGTGTTTTTGATGACGACTTGCCAAAAAATTGACCCAGAATTCGATATGCAATGAAATGTAGCCATTTCGGTGCTCTTTCATGCAAAATAACCAAAATTAGCAGTTTTAGAATTAAACAAAAATTTCTCTCTTAAAAGTAATATCATTTTTCTACAAAAATGTATAGACTTTAATCACTACATTCTGCATAGCTTTAGCTTCTATAATGATGAGAATTTGTTAAGAAATTTCCATCGCTTTTATAGTTTTCTCTTCATAATAATAAATTGACACATGTAGCTTTGGCTGTTCATAAACGAGATTTTTTCATCTTAATTGTGAATTTTTGACAACTTGTGAGGTCAAATATTAAAAGTTTTATTGCTAAAAGCAATGAAATAATTTGAGTAAACTCAGTACCTGTAATTGTGCGCAGCACCATGTCTCATATTGAGAACAAGGACCGATAAGCAAACACTAAGACCGGAAATCCCCATAATTCCCATTAGATATATAGCTGAAATATGAGTAATAAAGAAAAGCTGAACATAGTCTTTAATCAATTTTTGATAAAGAAAATGCCATAAGTTCACATTTGGAAATATTGAATCATCTAGCAGTTGGCCACTGGTCATTACTGAGTATGGTATTACCAAGTGATAAAATCATTGACGTTGATATTAAGTTCATTATTAAAAGTGACGGCTTAGGGAAATTACTTATTGCTAGGGTGATTATTTTCTTAACTTTACTCGCGATGCACTTTTATTTAATTTTCAAAGGACATTACTTTTATTTTATTCCAAATTGAGACAAGTAATTTTCGGAGCAAAAACTTGAAATATTTGCATGAACAATAAAAATCATTTATAGAGTGCAACTTACCGATGAGAGGGATAACTTCTGATGTTTCAGGCATATTCTCCGCAATATTAAAACTGAACACTGAATATGCTAGAAGCACTGTCAAGCCAAGAGTGATTTTTTCACCACTTTCACAAGGCAGTACAAATTGCATCATTGTTAAAACCTGAATCAAAAATGCTTCAAACTTTTTATATCAATGAGGATAGGAAATGGACTTAGAGTCTGTAAAAATGATCATGATTAAAGTCTGTACTAACTCTTTCCAAGTTTGCCTGAATTTATTTTCCCAAGCTTACATATGAGTTTCATTTAGACTCATACTTGAAAATATAGTCAAGGACTAAGTTGAAAAAGATATTTGCTAAGGCTTTTGTCATGAAAGAATTAAAGCAATCAAATAGTTTGTATAGTCTGATCCACCAAATAATAGCAAATGATAATAATAAAACAGAACTTTTATTGAAAAGGATATCTAATATTTTGTTATATTTATAAGCACTGATTGAAAGGAACAGCTGAAGATTCACCGAAAGCATAACACACGGGACAATAACATTATAGATGAAGAAGAGTACTCTTCGTCGCAAATGCAGCTCAAATACGATAGTTGGGAAGATTGTTTGTCGACCTCGAAGAACCTAAAACCGTTACTTGTACCATTCAATTCTGTGAGTGTGAATCAGACCACAAAATTTCTGGTTTCGATGGAAACCAGAAATCAAATTTTGACAAAGGCTTCTTTGTCAAAATTTATTTGCGTGACAAATCTTTATATACAACCAATTGTTTCTAACGCTAAAATTTTGAATTCATTCAATTTAATTTTGATTTAATAACTCTCAAGTGGACATTTCCCATTATTGATTTTAGCAAATTAATTTATAAGCCAGGTGTTGCATGAATATTACATACTTTTCTCTTATCTCTAAGTAGAAAACGTAACTGAAAAGGAGATTACAGATCCAGTTCTACTACTTTAGCATATTAAGCGTAACCTTCCGAGTTCGATTTGCTACAATTTCCCATTCACCATTTTCCATAAATGAATCGCGTGTGAACGGATCTTTTCCATCAAATCGTTCCATAATTTGGACGTCTAATTGTGATTGATCATATATCCCTGGAATAACAAATATAGCTCAAAATTTGTGCTAATTAATTCTTTTATAATAGAATGTATAGTCCTAAAATTATTTTTCAATTCTTTCAGAACATAAAGACCATTTCAGTAGTAGAGCCGTCGTTATATCAATAATGTTAAATCAATATTTTAAATAACGAAATTATTGTCACCACAATAATAATGATAATAATAATAATAATAGTATTATTATTGTTTTTACTATAGATGTTATAAAAATAATATTATTGTCTGATTATTGACGCATAATTATTATTATATTCAGTATTATTAATATTGTTCCACAATAACTTGCTTCTAAGTTTATTTGATTATTTTGTCATTATTTAAGAAATATGAATTTGTTGGACAAAACTGGTTTTGCAACTAAATGAAAAACAGCACTCGTCACATATTGTGAAAAAAATTATTTAATTTTTCGATACTGACGGAGCTGAAAAAGAATCACAGAACGAACTGTGCAGTTTTCAATCAAATTTTTGTGTTAATACAAATTATGTGCAATTTTCTGTGCTTATCACTTTGCTGTTTTTAAAGCGATAAAAAGAATGGAATTAATTTTTTATTTTCCATATAGTCTATTTTGCATTAAAATAATAACTATCACTCTGTTTTTATTCAATATTTTATTAAAGACATTGGTGTTATTTGATTTTTTTCAATTACAGAATTCACCTAAAATTCCTCTTACAATTTTTTTTCAATATTAGCTTTTTTCGAATGAAAGAAACGACAAATAATTACTACGTTCATGCTAATTTATTAAATTTCACGCATAAATTTTTTGTCTAAATAAGCAGTTAAATTTTAAATTTAAGAGCGAAAAGATTTACACGAGCCGAATTCGAGTATGCAGAGCTGATCATCAAATGGAAAAAATCTCACATCTAGTTTACAAATTGAGTAAACTTTTGCTGGAGGTGCCCACTGAGCTGCAAGCTTATATGAGCGAATAATTTGTCCAATAATCTGATAAATGTGTGGGTCATTTGTGCTCACTAAGCTTTTTTAAATAACTAAGCTTTCGAAAATGGATAATTTTTATTATTAAATTTAAGTAAATCACACCAATTTGCAGTGAAGTCATCAAGTCTGAGACTGCAAAAATTTTTCATGTACATAAAAAATTGGCAAAACTTACTATAGCCATTATTCTGAATTTGCAAATTTGTATCAATAAAACCGCTTGAAAAGTCCCGGGCACTGAAAATATAAATCTCATTGCATCATTTGCTTCAATTTCTATTTGTTTAACATTTTAGGAAAATATTTTTTTTAAATTTTAGTCTCATTATTTAAGTGTGAGTGCAGAAGAAAATGCAAATCGAAAAAATGTGTCAAAATAAATTGCAATGAAATTTGATCGAAAAAGAATTAAAATTTAAGCAGTCTACAATTATTTTGAATTTATGTATAAATACTTTTTGGTTGTAAAAGAAAAAAGTTCATTTTAAAATGTATTTCTCATTCAAGTTACAAAAGAGTCTTTGCCAAAGTTTTCAGAAAATTTAGTGGAAGTATAGACTACAAAAGGATTAACTTGTTATAAAGAACGATATCAGGCGTCCACAGGTATTGTGTTCCTAATGTCAATTTGCTGATGTTACCAAATTCTGTAGGATCCCATTGAATCCTTTCATCGTGCCAATTTTGTTCCACCCAAACGTTCAAAGCTAACACTTGATTTCGCTCATCCTTGAATTCAGTCGAATGCACACATTAGGGGACACTTTTGTAAATATTATCAATTTTAGTATTGCTTATTTTATCACGCTCATAAGTAGACGAATTTTTTGACTCGTAAATAATTAAATTTACATCATCGCAATTTTTTAAGCAGTCAAAGTTTAGAAAAATATATTATTTGTATTTTGACTCAATTCAAATTGCTTTTATCAATTACTGAGCTTTGACACGAAAATTATTGTCGAAAATAGTATTTGAGCGTAAAAGACCACAGATGTAACAGTTGTTTATTTTAGTGCGTGTAAAGAGCATTAGTAATAAATTTACTGACAGGCTATTTCTAGAAGAAATCCCAATGGATACTAAAATAAAAAAGAATGGCTAAAAAATATTAAATATTGTTTGGTTAAAAGAGTTCTTTTGGAGAAAAATTGAATTTTTCTAAACAAAAGTGTTCATTTTTATTTGCATTCTGAAAGTTTATTTTACGAGGACGGAAATGGAAAAAGTGGAAAAAGGACTAGGCAAAGTAAATGAAAATATTTCTCTTCAGGCTGTATTTAGAGTAGTGTGCAGTCGCAGTCAGCTTTTTGTTCGCTAAAAATATCGGAAGTTATCTTCAGTTTTTTAAAAGAAAACTTGTTTTTGAATTCGTTTTGCTGAGGAAAAACGCATGGGAACGGAATATTCAAGAATAAAATGGAAAGTGGAAGACTAATTTTAAAAATGTAATTTCTGGGAAATGAAGAAGAAACACTTTCGAAACCCTTTCCCTTCACATTTCCAAAAAGCTGTGAAACTTAGAATTCAGAATTGCAGATTATTCAAATAATAGTATTTACGTAATACGTATTGTTTATACGGAAGAATGAAGACAGTAATTAGTTTTAAAATAATTACTACAGAAATATTTAGCATTATTACTGGCATTTGACATCTTCTCATTCACAGACCATAATGCAAGCAATTATTTAACTTGCATTATTATTGGTCTGTAAATGAGAAGATTAAAATATTTATGTGATATGTATTGTTAAAAATTAGTACAAGGTTGGATGAAGATGATCGCAGCTTAGATGCTATAAGGTCTTAAATACCGAAGCACTGATAGAAACTTTGACATTGATAGTTATCTTTCATGAATACAAATACATTTGAATTTAGAAGTTTCTAATTTTGATTTTTCAATTTTACGGCTTTTCGCCTTTTTAAGAAAGTTTTTTTAAAAATTTTCATTATTCATTTTAATGCTTCAAAAAAAAGAATATTGCTTACTATATTGAAAATATGTGTAAGTGTTAAGCCCATGTACACGTTTACAACAGTACTAGCATTGCGTACAGGCCTTACGGAAATATCATAATTGTTGGTGATACGCCTGAACAAGCGTTGCTCATCACTGATTCCAAATTGCTTTAAGTGATCATCTGAGATTTCCCGTCGATTTGGAATATGCGGTAACTCTACTGCAATTTTACTTACTCTAAAATTAAGATTAAGAGAGGAATTCTTCAATTAGGTTTTGTACTAATATAGTGATGGATTTAATTATCGATAAATTAACTTAGAAATATTCATTTGATTTTGATTTTTTGACCTTTGATTACATTTAAAAAAATTTTTAGTCAGAAAACACTTACTAGCAAGGCCAACTTGTAAAAAAAAAGCGCAAATACGAAGTAACAACGTGATGCCAAGAATAATGATTAGAATTAAAAGGTCAGATTTTCAGAGGTTATTCAAGTATTAATTCGGAGTGATCAAAAGCAAGTGATCACTTTCTGGAAATTTATCATATATTAAAAAAAAATCCTGAATAATAATATAAAGTAACGAAAATGTGAAGCAGACGCCAGTATGCGCTGTAAAAGAAAGCAAATATGAAGTAGGAAAACTCAATTAGTGAAATAGTGGTGACGCCCATGTATGAAATTCCTGCAAACCAAACTTGAGACTGACCAAACCTTTCATTAATTATTTAAGTAATTCATTCATCAGTTCATTCACTGATACACTCATTTGTTCATCTTCTAGTGCAAAAGCTTCAAAAACAAAATTTATGAATAATTACTTGCGCTTTTCACCTCAAAGCATTCTATAATTAAAAAAATGAAGCCTTAGAAACTGCTGTAGCTAAGAGATATAAGGTTTAGAGAACTAACCTCTACAGTTTTACAAGTTTCGTTTTGAAATAACATTGTAAAATACTTCAATTTTAGAAAAATAAAATGCATGAAAATACTTAAAGTCAAAGATCAGAGTAAAAATTATGCTTGTCAGATGTCGAGATCACGAATATGTACTAAAATAAGAGCAAAAACAAAATGTCTTTGTGTCGTTCAGAATTCAAGTTTATTAGGGGAAAAAATTTTGTTCTCATTTAGCATTTTGAAATTTATTGATAGCAGTGATTCAAAATTAATATTTTGTCAAAAATTTATGTAATTTATGACTAATTAGACGTCTCGAGTCCAGAAGTCCAGAAATATGTTGAACAAAGTCAAGCATATTTTGTTATCAATAAATGGTCACTTCAAAAATCAACAGATATTTTTAGAGAAACAAAAAAGAGCAAAATTGTGAAGTGCTAAATTCAAAAAAAAGAATTACAATTTTTGCAAAGATTTTGTTCGAAAATTAAAATAGTTTTTTGATTAAGTATTTTCCAATTTATGTGAATTGAATACAAATTAAGCATTCGAAAGAGCTTTCGTTTTGAATAGCTATCTTGAGAGTGGTAGAAATTCTTGAAGTATTCTCTCCCAAACTTTGGTTTTATTTGCTAACACTTGTGAAAATTGTAATCAAAACAGCACTGATTAATTCTGAATATTACATTTCTTAAAATTATTATTCACTGTCTGAAAAATATTTTGATATTAAGTTGAGTTTTATAAATTACTCGTGCTATTGTAATATTTCAAAAGCCTTTACAATGCAAAGCAGCAAAACGTCGTTGATTACTGAAAAACAAATTTGGTGGAATAATTCATCCATGAGAAGAAAAAGCAGGTCATTAATTTCTCTACTTTATTTAATCGAGAACATTTATAGTGAAAGTAATCATTTCTGGAGTAAAAAAATTGAAAAAAGATTTAGAAAGCATTTTCAGCACAAAAAAACTGAAATTGAAATGAGTGATCAAGCAAGAGCATCTCCTTTACTGACTTTACAACAAAAACGATAGCAAAAACTGTGGTTAATCTCTTTTTAATAAGCCAGCATATTTTTCAGTTCTTTTAATCACACTTATCACATTCTATTGTATTGTGATCTCAATGTGATCAACGTAAAGTTGTAAATATCTCGTGATATTACCATATTTCAGATTTATTCTCACAAGAGATCAAGCAAACACATTTTAAAATGGATACTTATGGAATTCTTTTGCATCACTTCTATCAACCAACACCTTTTTTGTTCCATTTGTTTATTGTTTTAATTAATAAGTTGCAAGTATCAACCAATATAAATGTATGTATGAATATTAATCAATCAATCATTCATTTTTTCAATGAATCCATAGAAATTGACTGATAAATCAGTCATTCTGTACATCAAAGTATTCTTGCCAATACTTCTTGCTATCTTGAAACCCAGACGATTTCTTGCCAAACCGTATGTAATCATATGTTGACGGATTGAATTCGTTGCGCCGAAGTCGAATAAATTCGCGATTCTCATTTCGTTTTTCTAAATAAATATGCTGCATTACTTTGAAATTGACAATTATTACTGTTGTTTTCTCTATTGCATCAATTAAATGATGTTCATAAAATGATGAGTTTTTATGAAAATCGAAGAATCATTTTACAACTATCTATAATCAAGAGTAGCAAATTTGCTATGATTATGAAAATTCAAATAGAAATCGAGCTTTGATTTTGATTCAGCTTTAACAAGTTTTTTAAAAGCAAAAAAAATTTGATACAGTCTTTCATATTAATTGCCAACTTTAAAGCATCTGAAACTGCTTTTTCATACCATCAAACTGCAGTTTCCAAAAATTAACTAAAGCTAAAAACTTTATTTGAAAAATTTAAAATTCAAAATATGAAAAGAACTAAAATAGTTCGATGACAAATAGTGTATACATTATATAACATTTGTTTAT